GAATCAGTACGGTTAATTCGACATCAGGGAGTTGACGGCGAGGTCGTTACGTTGTTTGAGGTGAGCTCATTTCGTATCCGTACCAATATTTTTTTCTAAACGTGTCCTTTTAGTACCTTTATATTTGCTTCGCCGTCATATCTTTTCTGAAACATACCTATACCTACGCAAGTAACGTGGTTAAGGCATTCCCCTCATTACCTCGTAAATGGGGAGCCGCTGTGAAAGTTCTTTATATCCTATTCGGGTAAGTTTTCCTACCTTTTCTGAAGAAATCTTTCCAAATTGTTGTGGTTTAAGGCGATTCTGGGATTTTCTTGATTTTCTCGTGGGCATTCTTGGAATTTGCTCGGTGTTTGCCTACTTCTTGCGAGAGCACCATATTAACAGAGTAAGTGTTTGCCTCAACATCAAAAGAACTTGACAATTCTATCGCTCAAAATGTATCTCAAAAAATCCTCAAAGTTAACGTTATGATTACATGAACAACGAGAAAAATTGTAAACGCGCTGTACATAGATTTAATTCTTGCGTTAATCTTACTTCTCCTAACGGTCCCTTTTGGCAACTGCTGAGCAGCTTCTGTTGCATTCGTAAGGTGGAGTCATTCCAAGCTGTAGACGAATCACATCAGTTTTGCTCGCACAGCTTTTCCTAGATTTCTGCCCCAAAAATATAATCACTTGGAGCTTCCGCCTTGATACACTGCATCGCAGACGTTCCGTCAAGCCTGAATTGCATGTGAATGTAATATAACCCCTGCGTGTCTATTCTATATCCATAGTTTTGTTCATTCCTTCCTATCAATCACCAAGTGTATATGTTGAACTCAACCGTTCTAGGCGCTTGACAACTTCGCCGCAAATAACGGAAACGAGTACATCAATTTGTCAAAGCAAAGAAACTTGGAGCTCATGTTCACATTTTGTGTTGGTGGCGTGGTCTTCTTCGTCTCATGCAAGATGATCCAGATCTTGCGGTGAGTGTGGAGCCTTCTCTATTGATCCACCGACTATATTGCAACCCAATTGTTTGCCATTAAAGACCGGTGGGTCATGTTCTAATTATACATAATTTTGTGGAGTTTGAATGCGCAAAAGTTTGCCGTATATTTGGAGGCATTCAGGCAGTGATGTGATGTTGTAGTCCAAACTGCAGGCTCGTACTGTAATGTTAACTGTGTAGGAAAAAGAATTGTAACGTTTATTATCCAAACTGGTACGATTGGACCAAACTCTGTACACGTACACTTGCAGATAGCAGAGACAACGTAAGGGGACTGCCCTTAAAAATCTGTATCATCAATTTCTTGGACAGCCTGACCACTCACAGAATCCCTAACTGAACCTTTTCATTTAGAACCTGATTTAATTCTTTTCTACACCAACCGTAACTCCACGATAAGTTATAGACGTAAATTCAAATCATTACCCAGAAAAAGTTATGATTTTGACTTTATACCATATTTCTCCGCAAAGATCTTCGTACATAATATGAACAGACCAGATTGCTTGCAACAAAATTGTTAATCTGATCCAAAAATGCTATCACGTAGGTCAGGACCCAGCGAGTTTGTAGGTTGAGCTTGAAAAAAAAGTGCTTTCGTTTTACGTGGCAGGAAGTCAAAAGGACGTTATTGTCAATGTTTTAAGAACGCAGAAATAATCGAAGATTTCAAATATGTTTTGAGTAATATAACTCTGTTTGACATTGAAAATCTTTGCTAAAACTTCTTTATAGGAAGGGTTGACGCAATGATTTTGAGTTAAAAACACTTCTTTTATGTCACCGTAGTATAGAGAAAGCGTGGCGATTAAATGGGGTGCAAAAACAACTTACAGAAATTCCTAAAATATCCTACAGGTTTGGGTAAGAATAGCATTTTTTACGCTTACAATATTTATTACAATAGATTTGCGGCCATCTTCAACTTCACACTAAAGCATCACAGAGAGAATGAGGTGTTAAGTTTTAGCATTTCGGTTAAGTCCACTATACTTTCCTTAAGGCCACTAAGGCTTTCTTTTTTGCTGTAGTGTCACAGCATCTATCAAAATGTATGTATGTTTCAATACTCGGTGCACAGAGACTGAACTGCATCGCAACAAATCTCCAGCAGTAAGATCAACCTTTTCATTATGTACGAAAGAGGTTATCCTGCTCATCAACATGGCTATACACTCTCACAATATGCTTGAACATTGCTTAATGAAAAGAGAGGCCTGTCAATTTCTTTTTGTTGGAGAATGAATCGGCCATAACTGATGAATGAATGTTAGCGCGGGAGGAGATAATACTTAGAGAAGAGGGGCGCTAATGTGAGAGCATTCACAAGGTTCTCGCAGATCGTAGTTTCTTGATTCGTAGGAATTCTTTGAATTTGCTGAAGTTAGCCAGCTTTTCTGTGACGCTTGTTCATAACCAATGCATAGATTGTTTTTTTT